GGACCCCATCTTCCTTCCTCCCTCCTTTCCTCCCCTTGCCACCTTCCCTCTCCCTCTGTCCCCCTTTTCTCTCTCTTTCTCCATTCTGTTCCCCTTTTCTCTGCCTCCAGTGGGAGTAGGACCCCCCTCCCCCTGCCACTAGGAAATGCACTTCAGTTAATACTTGCACTCCACTCCCTTTTCAGGTGAAGAAGTTAAAATTCAGAAAAAGTAATTTGCCAAAGTTAGGCAGTTTATCTGTATTTAATTGTTAAAAATATTTGATCAGTTCTGGAGAAATGGCTCAGAGGTTACCAGCATTGGCTGCTCTTCTAGAGGTCCTGAGTTCAATTCCCAGCAACCACATGGTGGCTCACAACCATCTGTAATGAGATCTGGTGTCCTCTCCTGGCATGCAGGCATATATGCAGACAGAACACTGCACACATGATAAGTAAGTAAATAAATAAATATCATTTTAAAAATATTTGATCTTGGGGCAGGCAAGATGACTCAATGGGTAAAGGTACTTGCCATCAAGCCTGACAGCCTGCTTTTGGTCTCTGGGATGCACATAGAGGAGGGGAACAACCAACTCCCAGTGTTGTTCTCTGACTGCCACACTCATATGCTCTAAATAAGTAAAGAAAGTATAATAAAAATTAAATGCTTTTTAAACAAATGAACTACTGACTTAGGTTATGATTTTATGGTTGTTACATTTTGTTTTGTTTTGTTTAATTATTTATGAATTGACCCTGGCGGTGTGTCTTTTGGCCATCATCTCTCTGGAAGCAAGATCACCTTGTGGGATGTTGGGTCTCAGCCTTGGTTGTGTGAACCTCCTCACTGTTGCTAGGGAGTCTTGATTGTTGGCAGTTCTCGATTTTACTTTCTCAATTCAACACAGAGAGAAAAGGCTCAACAGGAGGAGAAAGCTGGTGTGAACAGGAACCCAGAGAAGAGTGCGGACAGTGAAGGAAGAGCTATGATCACTCCTGCTCTCCGAGAGGCCCTAACTAAACAAGGTGAGCATCTGCCAGGACTGGGGCATTGTTGCTCACTGGTGCACTCGGCTTGATGCCCAGGGCAGGAAGTTTAGTACAGGGTTGTCACAGGGGACAAAGAGAAAGTCTCTTGCTGGTTAGTGTGGCAATTGGGTCTTAGCATGTGTTATTTGGAACTTAGGGCACTGGGACCTGAGAAAAACAATAAGGGAGGAAGCATTCATTTATGTAGCTCAGTTTCAGATGCTTAGTCTGTGCTCATGTCATCCCTGCTCATGTGGCCTGTTTCTGGGTCTGTAGAGATGGAGCCTTGGGGCAGCAGGACTGCATGGGAGAGACCTCAAAGCAAGAAATAGATAGTTGGAAACAGGAAACAGCTACACCCACCCCCAGCCACTCTCCCATGATACACTTCCTCCAAACAACCCATCTTCTGCAGTGCTACCACCTTATATAAACTATTTAAGGAGCATTTATCTCTTCAGAGCCCTCAATTTCTGATGCTCTCTGGACATAACTAGATGTCAGTCAACCCAATGGAGCTGGCAACCAAGATTGACCATCACCTAGGGAAGATAGAGCTGCCTACCCGTACCCACCCAGTCTCTACCTCTCTTTCCTTCTCTCTCTCTCTCTCTCTCTCTCTCTCTGTCTCTCTCTCTCTCTCTCTGTATCTCTTTGTCTTGTCAGACTCTCTTTTGGTACTTGTGTATTCGAGGCTGGTATCACTCACTATGAAATTGAGGGTAACCTTGGAGTTCTGATCTTCCCTGCTCCACCTCCCAAGGGCTGAGATTAGAGACATGTCCATGACACCTAGTTTTCATGGTGCTGGGGATTAAACCCAGGCTCTTGTGTTGCCTGCTTGTATGTTTGGATGCCACTGGAGAGGCCAGAAGGCTTCAGATACTCTGGAGCTGGAGTTACAGATTTGGGACCCATCGTGTGGGTGCAGGGAGTTGAGCATGGGTGTTCTGGGAGAGCAGCCAGTGTTCTTAACCCATAGGAGTCATCTCTCCAGCCCTAACTTGAGTTTTATTATATTTCTTTACTTCACTTCTGTTAATTCTTTAATCATTTGATATATGTCTCCTCCTTGCTCCTTGGGGACTATGATACGTGTCTTCTAACATGCTACTTGTATTTGACCATAACTCATCGATATTTCTATTTGTTAAATTCTTTGTTTCTTGTCTCATATTTCAGTTTAGTGTCTGTCATTACATTTTCAGATTTGGCTTTTTTTTTTTTTTTTTCACTTTTTCAAGTGGTTACTTTCTATTGCTGTGAAGAGATAGGATGACCAAGGCAACTTATAAAAGCAAGAGTTTATTGTGCTTGCAGTTTCAGAATGTAGTCACTGACTATCATGGTGAGGAGCATGACAGCAGACAGGCAGGCATGTTGTTGGAGCAGTAGCTGAGAGTTTCCATCCTGATTCACAAGTAGGAGTCAGGGAGAGCTAACTGGGAATGGTAAAGGCTTCTGAAACCTCCAAGCCCACCCCCACTGATAACACCTCCTCCTGCAAGGGTATACCTTCTCATGCTTCACAAACAGTTCCACTCACTGGGGACCAAGCATTCAAATGTGAGTCTATGGGGGTCATTCTCATTCAAACTACCACATACCACTCTCTGACCCCCAGAGGCTTGTGGCCTATCATAATGCTGAGTGCATTAAGTCCATCCCCCTTGCCTTTCACAGTCTTCCCACCTTTAGAGTCAGGTCTCTCCACCATCTGGGTTTCAGGGAGTGAACTCAGGCTTGCATCAGATGCCTTTACCTACTGAGCCATCTTGCTGGCCTAACCCAAAGGATTCTTGAGTCAGAGTACCACAGAGATACCTGTACAAGCATGTTTACTGTAGTCCTGTAGCCAAAGGGTACAGTAGACAGCTAGACAAGATGCGGATGGAGCATGACTAGAGGTCAACAGATGAATGGGGAAAGAAAGTGTCCGCACACATTTTGTTGAACCTTAAGGAAGTTATGTTTGTAGGAAAGTTGATTCTGGAGATCATTTATAGTAAGCCGGGCTCAGAAAGACAGTGACATTTTCCTCTCTCATATATGGACATTTTATATTGATATACAAAACCATTTATCTGATTCTTTGGGGACATTTGTCATTCAAACTGCCACATGTACTCTGTAGTTGTGGAGTACAGTGTGTTCTTGGGCAGGGTCCTGGTCAGCTTTAACTGTTAACTTGACACAGCCTAGAGTCACCTAAGAAGGGAGTCTCAATTGAGAAGTTGCTTAGGTCAGATTGGCCTCAGACTTCAGAATGACCTTGAACTCCTGATGCCCCTGCCTCCTGCTGGGTGCCTGCCTCACTATGGATAGATTTTTAACAGTTTCTCATGGTAGCCAGGCTGGTGACTCAAAGCCTGCCATCTCAGCACTTTGGGAGATCGAGGACGGAGGACTGGGGCTACTCAGTAAGACCTAATCACAAAACAAACTGTAGCAACAAACAAACAAAAGCTTTCTCAGCAAATTAATCCTTTTCTGTTTTCTGCAAGAGTGCTGCTGAATGTTTTACCTTTGAGTTTTAGTGTCACCTTTTGATGTGAGACTTTGTGTTCATGTCTTTCTGTTCCCTGGTTTTCCATGTAGGGTACCAGTTGATTGGAAGCCACTCTGGTGTGAAGCTTTGCAGATGGACAAAGGTATTTATTGGCTTTATTTAAACATTATTGCTGTTTTCTGCAACTCATTTACTTTTCCATCTCCATGTATTTTGTGTGCATATGTGTACACGTTTTCCATTTTCCATTTCCATGTATTATTTCGTGCAGATGTATGTGCGCATGCGGGGTCAGTGCACATCTTACAGGATTGGTTTTCTCCTTCACCTTTGTAGGCTCTGGGGCTGGACTCAGGTCGTCAAGTTTGGCAGCAGGGCATTTACCCTCTGAGCCGTGTCACTGGCTCCCTTGTGCCTTCTCAGCAGTGTTGCTGAGATATGCTTTACTAGCAGTATAACCCCCTCATTTTAGTGTATTCATAGGGTTCTTGCAGCCCTCACCACAGTCTAACTGTAGGATGTTTCTTTCACCTCTGAAAGGCCACACCCACCAGCAGTCAACCCTCCAACTACCCTGAGCCATGGATCTGCCTTTTGTCTCTGCATTAATTAGCTGATTAGACGTGTCGGATGACTGGAATTGTATGTGTGACCCTTTGTGTCTGCTTTCTGTCACTTGATCTGATGTTTTTGTGGCACACCGTGAGTACCTGAGGACATTGTTTGCCACACCCTGTCTATTCGTTGAGCAGTTGGTGGGCACTCAGGTTAATTGTATGTTTTGGATGTTAGAGTGATGCTGCTGGGGCATCACTCCATACCACACAAAATTTTGTGTGGTATGCTCACTTCAAATGTCATTAGTGGATCATGATAATTAAAAAATTTATTTCAATGAACTATCTATTTTTCAAAGTGGTTGTATTATTTTATATTCCTGCCAGGAGTGTTTTGAGGGTCCTGTTCCCTCACCACTCTCCACAGTCCCCTAAACACTTTCACAGGGTCTGTCTGTGCAACCCAGGCTGGTCTCAAATTCATGATTCTCTTGCTTCAGCCTATTACTTTTGAGACAGGGTCACCTGTAGCCCAGGCTGGCCTTAAACTCACTATGTAGCTGAGGATGACCTTGAACTCCTGACTCTTTTTCCTCTACCTCCCAAATTCTGGGATTACATGTGCAGTACCTCATCTGGTTTGTCTGGTCCCGGGGTGGGAACTCAGGGACTAATGAGCACTGGGTAAGCGCTGAGTAAGCACTCTACCCTCTGAGCTACATCCTGAAGAAACTATTTAATTCTAACTCATTCCTTTTCCTTGTTTCTTAAGGTGCAAGTATTCCAAGAAAATTTTCCTTTGATATTTTCTGTTGTTCCAGCTACTTTAGTGATAGTGTGCACATTAGCTAATGAATTCCACATGTTGCGTTCCCCACACTTCTTTTTTCCAGTCCAGCAATTTCCAGTGATGTTGGACTCAGTGCCTTCTATGCACAGCTAGTAACATGCAGCACCCCTTTTACATCGCTAAATTCAATTTTCAGATAGTAAATCACATGCATAATTTTGAAAATTGGTGGTTGATCCAGTCTGTAATGAAATGAATAAGGAAGCACTTTATGTTAAGTGTGTGCAGAAATGCTGTGGTGCTTCTTTAGTGGTAGCTGGCTCGGTGAGGGGTTTTGCTTCCACACAGGGTGATATACGGTAGTCTAGGGGACACGGAGGTCCTTGTGTTCACAGACAAGCACTAGGGAAACCAGACGTTAAACACTCCATCTCTTTTTATCATTCCCATATGTTTATGAACAAGTATTCCCAAGGCCTGGCAGGATGGCTCAGTGTGTAAGGACACCTGCTACCATGTCTGACTGGTTGAGTCAATAACCATGACCCATGTGGAAGGAGAGAACCAGGTTTTACAAGTCCTCTGGTGTACACAGACTATGATGATAGTTTTCCAATAAAACATTTTGTCATTTAACCAAGCCTGGAAGCTGTAAATAAATTAAGTCCATGGGCCTGTGGATGTGGCTCAGTTAGTAGAGTTCTTGCCTAGCATGCAGGAAGTGTTGACTTCCTCCATCTCCAGCGCTGGGTAGGATGGTGTGGTGATGTACTCTTGTAATCCCAGTATCCTCAGAAGATGATGTGTTTAAGATCATGCTTGGCTACCTAAGGAGTGTGAAACCATCCTGTTATATATGAGACCCTTTCTCAGACAAACAAAGCTCCCATGATGACTTCCTGGAGGATAGGGTAAGCAAGGAGGGATGTGAAGCCCAGCCAGCCACAGCTGTCACAAACCTGATGAAGTCTTAGATGAGTGGCCACAGCTTAATTCTCCTCTGAACACAGTTGTGTGAATGAATGAATGAGTGATCCCAGTCTGTAATTCAGGCATCAGTGTCATATTAAATCAGAGATTGAGACCCTGTGCTAGGTGGCAGATCCCTGAAATGGGTGGCACTAATTAGTTGTGGTACAGGGTCATGGATTGCTGCTCACGTGGAGAATGTAAGTTATCTGTGAGGTTGGGAAGTCAGTCACAATGACAGACGACAGAGCTGGAACTAGTGAGAGCCCTGAGCAAAAGCAGCACTCAGTCTGTAGAGAGAGATGGAGATGAGGTTGCTGAGAGGAGCAAGTGATCTCCCATCGTCTTCTGAAGTTTCAAGTCAAGGCTTGTTAGCCTGAAAGATTAGGAGCCTGGCTTGATCTCAGAACATGCCAGTAAGGGCTTGGGCATCGTCTTCTGGGGAAGTTTGGGGCTCGTTAGCCAGAGAAGCATGGCTTTGAGGTGTTCTGGGGAAGGGGATGGTAAGAGGATGGGTTGGGGTGCCAGAACTAGGGAGCACCATTGAAACAGGAAGTCTCATGTCCTCCACCTGAAAGGAGATGGTGACTGAGGCCAGCCCTAGTTGCTTCAGCCTTACAGTTGAGTCTAGTTAAGCTCAACTCTTTCTTGGCCTGAAGGTGAGTTGTCCACCGAGTTAGGCAGCCCAGTTCTCCTGACAAAGGGCACTGGGATTCCCATTAAAAACAAATAGGACATGTGCTCTTCTGTCTAGCTGGGCCTGAGGTTCCCACACTGTCTGGAGATACCAGTCAACCAAGTGGAGGTAACAAGAGACCATTCCCCCACAAAGTACCTGGCCTGAGATATGTTCTCCTTTCTCTTCTGGCCTGACACTTTCTTCCCCCATGGTACCAAAGCGGTACCATGGTGACTAGGTGGCTCTTGGAAGGTGATATCACCGTAGTATCTAGTTAGGACAGCCCCTTTGTCCTTAGGAGGCTGAGAGTCTCCTTTCTGCAGTGTTCACAAAGGGAGCCTTGTCACAGAAGAACCCAAGCTGAGAGGCCTGAAACTCCTGTCTTCCAGTGAACCAACGGGGGTGAGGGTGGGGGAGGACAATGGACCCTGCTCCCTCAGCAACAGGGGCTAGCAGGGGCCAGCAGGGACCAGGGGTCATTTAAGATCAAGGCTAGGGAAGTTCAGTTGCCATGGAAAACACAGCACAGGGCTTGTCTTTGACTTCAGCAAAGTGACTGCTTGTTAAAATGAGACATAGAGGGAGTGCCTAGAGCAGTGGTTCTCAATCTTGCTAATACTGTAACTCTTGTTCCTAATGTTATGGTGACCCCCCAACCATAAAATTATTCCTTTGCTACTTCATAACTGTAATTTTGCTGCTGCTATGAATCATGTTTGAATATCTGATGTGCAGGGTATCTGATAGGCTATCTTTATGAAAGGATCATTTGATCCCCAAGGAGTCGAGGCCACAGGTTGAGGACCACTGGTTTAGAGTCTCCTCTCTGACAGAATGCCCAGGACACTACAGAAAAATCACCTGTCACAGCAAAAACTGAGACAGTCATAATTGGGATAACAAAAGATAATCAACTGCTGTCAACAGCAGCTGAGCCAACGGATAGGACAGGCTGAAGTAGCTACAGCAATCAGCTGTCAGTGATCTTCAGACAAATGAAAGAACAAAATAGCCCAGCAAAGAACCAGGCTAAAAACAACAACCGAGAACGTTCAATACAACAGAAAAACAGATAAAACAACTTCTTGAGGGCTCAGCAGTCAAGCGGGGGTGGCAGGCTGTGTACTCTGACCCCAGCAGATTGATGGGACAGTTTGCACCCAGGACCGGTCAATAGGATTTACCCAGTCTGGACCACAGAGATCAAAGTAGATTAGACACAATGCAAACAAAATGGGAAGTGGAGCCTCAGGGATTTGTGGACTAATGAGATACTCCTCCATCAACATCTATGCCATATTGGAGGATCAGGATGACAGTGAGAAAGAGTGGAACTGGAGGGGCATGGTCACATATGCTGACAGTGGTGACACACATTGGGAAAAGCACAAACAAAATGTACTACACTTGGTTGATGGGGGATGTCCTTTTGTATGCTACGAATATATGTTTTTTCTTAGTGGTTGATGAATAAAGCTTTTTCAGCCAATGGACAGGCAGGATTTAGCCAGATGGGAAATCCAAACAGGGATAAAGAAAGGTAGTAGGTGGGGTCAGGGAGATGCCATGTAACTGCCAAGGAAGCAAGAGGTCCAGGTGTCACTTGTAAGCCAAGACCAAATGGAGATATGCAGATTAATAGAAATGGGTTAATAATTAAGAGAGAACTAGCAAATAGGAAGCCTGAGCAATAGGCCAAACAGTTTATAATTAATATAAGCCTCTGTGTGTTTATTTTGGACTAAACTGCTGTGGGACTGAGTAGGATTTTAGCTTCTGTCTACACTTGATATGTGGGTGTGGGTGAGCATGCCACAGCATGTGTGGAGGTCACTTCCACATGTGGGTCATAGGATTATCTAGTGCTTTTATCCACTGAGCCATCTCACTCACCCTACAGTGTCGTCTTAAAAATGATGCCTTAGGGTTGACAAGATGACTCATAGGGTAAAGGTCTTGCCTGATGACCCGAGTCAATCTCTGGTACCCACATAAAGGAGGAAGAAAGAGTTGGTTCCATGAAGTTGTCTTTGGACCTTTGCATGTTGTGGTATATCTGAGCCTGCACTCACACATCTCATACACACAGTAATAACAAATAAGAAAACTGAAGCATCAAACCAAGAAACAATGCCTAGCTGTTGAGTTTCTATTATTTTATTCAAATGATGGCATGTTTCCTGCTTGTCACAGTCAATGCTGCGGGGGAGAGGAGGTTGCTACAAACACACATTCTATGGCATTGAGAGCCATCGCTGCATGGAAGCCACCCCAAGCTTGGCATGTGCGAATAAATGCGTCTTCTGCTGGCG